GTACGAGGTGTTCGCAACCTCGTAACGCACTGTATTAAACTTTTATTTATTCAGTGCGGTACGAGGCCTAAAAAATCCGGTATTAAGGTAGTTATACCCAAAAACTCGGCATCAATAGCACATCTTAGATAAATAGCTATCTCTTTCCTAGACTGAACCAGACGAAGGTTACTACGCCTCTCGCACGATAAAGAAGTTTAAGTTTTTCCTTACCGCTATAAAAACGAGACTCGAACGAGGTGTTTCAAGCCTCGTTTCGCACTCATCGTGTTAAAAGCTGATATGTAGCACTTCATCAGTTATTTAATAAAAACGTTACCCGTTGACATTGGGACAAATATACAAACTCGAAACAATTATTTGTAGGTCATTCCAATACTCGATTCATTCGGGATTCGAACCTCGCAGGAACAGCGCAGTCAAACGCTCAGCCACTACGTTACTGAGCCGTCAAATTCATACAGAAGTGATAATTTCAAATGCGTTTTTTTACAACAGTAGGAAAAACTTAAGTCATTATAACACAAATGAAATTCTTATACCAGCTATTTAAAAATATGTTCTAAAAATTATTTCCTTCAAAATTGTCTTCGGATTAAGAAATAAAGTTTCTTCTTAAGATTTTAAAAAATAATTTAATATTGCTAGATGTTTCTCGAATTAATATTCTTTTGGTGGTGGATGATTATGAACATTCTTCAAAGAAATTATTTCGTTGTCGAAGGTATAAAGAGACGCCCTGCATTTTAAGCTGTTATGAGTGGAACAACGCCATCTTAGCTTGTTACTGCGGCTGTTTCTTTCATACTTAGCAGAGAATCTGAATCCATCGATGCAAATAATCTGGTTTCCTCTGGCAGACTCAACAATCTTAAAACTCGGGAATGATGACACAACGGCTGGAATAAATATTATAAAGGCTTTATTAACATTATTGGCAGGAAAAAACGTGTTCATAATATTTTATAAAAATTATTTTTATAGCAATGTTGCAGGTCATTATTATGTACATATCATTATTGACATTGATAATCATAATATATTAAATGTTAGTTATATATTTACACTATTAAGTAAAATACCTTTATAAAAGGATTATATAGGGTTTTATAGGTGGTAGAGCCATTATGCAGTTATATTAGTAGTATAGTAGTAGCACGAATGGGTCGACGCGATCGGAGAAGGACCGTGCTCTGACAGAATAACAGCGTAAAATAGTAGCTTAACGCTGCTGTGTTTCGTATCGTGAGTGTAGGAATCCGGACACCCTCTTTACTGGAAACGAGACATTCCATCTTAGTCCTCATGGGTGACAACGCATCTGCATTTTATTTCGTAATCAAGGATAGATGTAGATGTCTATAGGCCACAGCAACCACAGCAAAAAATTCTATAAAAAAAAACCTTTTGGCATTCTATCCCAGTCAAGCAGTCTTATTACAAATGGCAGTTTATAAGTAGTTTAGGTACTTGTACCAATGCCAACGATGAACGAGAAGTGAGTAGAGCTAGAAACTAGATGAGTGTAGAAGCGAGTGTGTAGTTCCGATAGTTTTGTCACTGGGCTATAAGTGAGTGCACTCAAATCCCCACCGTAGAATAAAATGACCGCTGGTTGGTCGAAACAAACTTTTATCTTCGATGATAGCTCTTGTCTCTGCGATAAACTTGTGGATAGAGTGTTTGCGCCGGCAGTGTGAATAGCCAGCGATCAACTATAAATATATGTATCTCTTTTATTGAATTTTATTTTTTTATTGGACAGGGGTCTGTAATGGCAAATACTGAACTCATTTGGGTAGAGCGCTGGGTTGATACAGGCATTAAGGTCTCTTTATAGGGACTCCAGTGCTTGTGTTTGGATCGTCGGGGTCTACTAGGACTGGTTTGACATCCATAAAGGTATCAGACAGAGCTGTGTCGCTCGTGGCTGTTCATCTTACTTATGGACAGTTGTTCGGAAAATTTGAAAGTTGAAGAATGCGGGTTAAGAATGGGTGAGGTAACCGTCAAATGTGTTTTGTACGCCGATGATCAAGTTATATTTGCGTCGTCGGCGGCCGTGTTGCAAATGATGGTTAAATTAATGAACAGGTCGTTAAAAGAAAGGGGAATGAAAGTGAACGCAAGAAAGACGAAAGTTATGGTTTTTGAAAGAGAAGAAAGCAAAACGATATTAGAAATAAGAATAGAAGGAGAGTTGGTCGAGCAAGTAGATGAGTTTGTATATTTGAAAATATTATTGAAAAGGGGCCAAATTAAGAGCACCCATAACCGACGAGCATGTATGCGTAGGTATATGGATGTGGAAGAGGCGAGAGAGGTGTGTCAGGATCGTGCCAAATAGGTGACAGGCGTGAGTGCTTATGTTTTTTTTTTTATTGACATGGGATCTATATCTATTGTTCGTTTCTTGAACGAGAAAATAATATATAGCTAATCGCTTCCTCGTTGACGGTGGGACAAGTGTCATAAACTAGAATCCCTTTCACGAAAGATGTCCAACGGAAATATGCAAACTGAAATATATTTTATAAAAGCTTTATAAAGCATGATGTTTGACAGAAAACGTCAAATATTGCCACGATTGTGGCGCCGCGACTTAGGGACTTCTCAAGTTAGAAAGACTCGTCTTAAACCACAGTTCAAGTCCTAGACTATCCGTAAACTACGTTTTGTATCAAGAGATTTTATAATAGCTTTCATCATCAGGGGCATTCAAAGCATAGCATTCAAAAATTCTTCAGTACGTTTTCTAAGTTTCTAATCGAAAGCTTATAAATAGTGTTTTCAGATATATAATTGAAACATGGCAGAATTTCAAACAATATTTCATATTAATTTTACCCTCAAAGGGAAAAGTGCAAGGGAAATTCACAATAAAGAGCAACATAACATGTGATTTTTTTTAAGTCTGAATAAATGAAACAACCGAAAAAGACGTAATAATTTATTCTTGAGGTTTGCTCAAATATGTTTTTTTTTACTACTAACTTAAGCGTATCGGGTAAGTAGAGTATAAAAGATCGTTGAAAAGTCATCTTAATTTACACAAATATGTGCTTATTTATATGTTTATTCAAAACACATACAATATATACAATACATAGAAAAACTCAAAACTAATTGTAGATGATACTTTCATCGAGGTCAAGTCCTATGACGCTGTAAGAATGCAATATTATATATAAATACACACACATATATATATATATATATATATATATATATATATATATATATATATATATACGTATAATATTGCATTTGATAATGCCTATGTGTGAGGGAGAATTTCCAAATTACTGAAAACGTCAACCTCATCTGCACTCGGCGCACCCAGAAAATCCGCCCTATCTAGGGTTTTGTTTATGAGTGGTACCCGTAACTTAAAAACCAAATAAGCTTTTTATAGTCAGATAAGATTTTTAATAAATTTGAAGTTGCGCAATATTTAATTAGATTTAACTTTTAATTGTGTTCTGCAAGGGCGAGGAGGAGGATGTTCGTGGACATTTTTTATTGACACAATTTGGTCATCTATTGTGTAAAGAGTTGCTCTACAACCCTTATGGTGAGAAGAGCATCGCCACCGTAACTTGGCGCAATGCGGCCTGTGCGTTTCCTTCTTCATAGTAAATCGATATCCACCTATGGTGATTAGATTATTGCCTCTTACCGACTTCCCTATGGTAAACAGGTTATTTTCTTCAACAGTACCTGTGAAAATAAATTTATATTTTTATTTTTTATTATAATGGATTTCCGCAAAGTAACGCCTGATTCTATCAATTAAATTATATAATAGTTTCTTTATACGGTTTAATCTTTGTTCTAATACACAGTTGGAGAAAAAGAAACTTCATGTTATTGAGTAGATAGTATAATTTATTAAAAAAAAGACTGATTCTAAAAACATTGAAAAGTTTTGTCGTTAAAATTCAATTACACGCATTGTGTGTCACTTCAAATTTTAATTTAATAGTTACATATTTAATAATATAATTTTTTAAATGATAAAGCCTTTGATTTTATTATAAATATTAAGGACTATACTATAAATAATAAAATAAAACATAATATTAGACAATAATATAAATTGTACAATTCAGCAATAGAACTTTTCGACGATATGTTTGTCGCCAAAAATATAAAGGTCTTAAGGTCTAACCACACGTACCACAACCACACCACAACCACAACCACAACCACAACCACAACACGTGGGCGGGCGCATTTTGTACTGGAAATAAATAGTACAATTTACTTGTACCACATTTTGCCTTCATTATAGACTGCGTGAGTGACACCGACTACCACAAGGAACTAGCGGCCGCTACTAGCGACATCGCAGCCACATCGACATTTTGTTGCATAATGTTGCAAGCCATAATTGATGCCACTAGTGCCATCTAGTGTCGGGGAGCAGAGAAAGAAGAGCTCTCTAGAAAATGCCATGCCTGAACTTTCCAACCACCAACAGCGCCATCTAGTATCTAATAGAAGAATTAAGCTTTCTAGAAAAGTCGACACTCAGTTTACACTTTTACGACAGCAGTTTTTATTGTCACGAACCCTAAGCTCGTAACAATAACAACAACGCAACTGCAAAAAGCTGCAGCGACCTTATTTACACGTGACCACATTTTGTCGCAGCGATGTGGTGTGGTTGTGGTATGTGTGGGTCGATCCCTATTACTTCATGGTTTATGATTATGATGTAACATAATGTAGATCAACAGTAGGTGTTAATAATATTAGTTTAAACGCTAATATGAAAAAAAGAAGTTGATGATTACGTTTACGTCGAAAATTAATTAAGATTTCGCCGTGCCAATTTGAACGAGAAAAATTTCATTATCGTTAACTTTTTAATACAATAAAAGAAAAATAAAAATAATATAATGATAACCCTTATTTGAATTTGCTTGTGTGTAAATATTAATTAAGTAAAAATAACAGCGATTAGATTTTGGTTACAGAAAATTGTTTAACAGTACGGTAATGTTCGGGGAGGAGGGCTGTGATTATGTATATTCTTCATAGATACAATTCTCTCTTCCACTGTGTATAAAGTAGCAGTGCAGCCATTCCTATGGTGGGAGTAACATCGCCATCGCATCTTTAGGCTGTGCGAAGTTTTTTTGTCCTTCTTTCTTGAGAATCTATAGCCTTCGACGCAAATGATGCGGGTCCCTCTGATAGTCTCCATGATACTATAAGGCGGGAATTCTTAAATATAAAACATTTAATTGTTAATAACATAAAGTATTTACAGAAATAAATGACAATATCAACTTTTAAGTAGTCGAATGTCAAATAAGCTCATGTTTTATAAATAAATATTATCGTAAGAAAATAGCAGATTCCACTATCTAACTATTACAACATTCGTACATTCAATACTTAAAAAGCTTGATCCTTCTTATATCATTAATAAAATCTAAAGGTGCTACTTTGTAGATATTGACTACATATATCAAAGATGAAAAAATGAATAAGAAAAGATCCGCGTTTTGTACGCAGGCTAGCCAATAGTTTTTTTCATCTTTAATTTTGACATGATTTCATGTATTGCGACGCGTAAAAACATTGTGTTTAACAGTTTTCATCAGTCTTAACAGACTTTCTACGTCTTGGAGTAATTTTAACGAGTCATTTAAATAAATATTTTTTTGAACCGGCGTAGATTTTGATGTTTATAAGAGGTATAAACAAGCCTCAATTGTATAAAAAGTTTGAATTTAACTTTGATTTCTTTTAGTGTAAGAGTTTGTCTAGGTAACACGCTCGCAACTCTTTCCTTCGGCAAGCAAAAGTACAATAACTGCTGTATTCAGGTCTGAAGGGTATAGAGAACTATCATATAGTATGGGCTTTGGCCGTAACAGCCAACTACCATCGGGTGGACTGTGAGTTTATTTGTCACTTTAATTTTATAAATAAAACAGTTGAAGGTGCGCTGCGTATACTGCATCCGCAGGCCACGGCTGTAAGGCTCTGCAGGCGTTTCTATCTAATATGGATTGCATATATCCGGGGGCTGACGTAGCCTCTTAAAGGTGAACTGTTAGCTCGTTTTCGTTATCATATCATATTGAACAACTGAATACTTCTGTCAATTTAGTCAAAAGAAGTTTGGTTGAAACTAAATTGTAGGTTGTGCACCAAAATTGAGTTTTATATCATTTATTGTTTAAGTATTTATTACTCGAATAAAACATATTCTATAAAGATGACATACTAGTTTATTCAATATTAAATGAACATAGAATTATTTATAATTTATACATATCAATTTTTTGGATTAGTCACACGAAATTCTTATATAATAATTAGTAACAATGGCACTGTAACAGATAACATGATAACAATAAATTGACAAAATTCTTTAAAAAAATCGTTATAAATTGCAATGTAAAAAAGGAAATTAAAATAAAAACTTTTTGAAACAAAATAATATATACAAAACATAACGTCGTAGTGACAAATACGATAATTATTAAGTTTGAAGTGTAAACTAATCAGAATCGTCAGAGCCCTTCGAGACTCCGGTACAATATTTCAAATTCTTATAAAATCTAGAATATTCTTCAGGAATAGCTCCGGTATCACATAACGAAACTAAATCCTTATATTTGGCTTCTTCCATAACCAGCGTATTAGTATATAATTTTTCTAATGGTATTCTTTCTTTTTTATTTTCGGCACAATTAGTCTCTTCTTTAGTATTCAAGCAAAAACTTTCATCTTTTAAATCGTACTTAATGTGAAGACAGTCAGGATCATGTTTTGTAATGCTCACTTCTTCTACGTTGTTCCATTTTATATCTTCATTATTCGTATCCTTTGTCCATCTTTTATCGTCCAATAAATTTGTAAAATCGAAGAAGTCCTGTTGTGTAACTTCTACAACACTATAAGGTTTTCCGTTAGTTTTAGCCGATCGTACTAAATCGTACCACTGCTCAGGGGTATAAATAAGTTTACCCCTAGACTCCCGTTCAATATGTGCACGAACACTATCGCTTTCGTTTTGGGTGTGTCCTGGTTTTAAAAATCGATGAGTAATATTTACTTTTAAAGTTTTGGCCAAATACATATAAAGGCAATACACAATTCTATTTTCGTAATGCCCAATGCAATTATTCGACCAAAATAAAAAATTTCTAGCACCTTCATCTACTTTTGCTTTCACAAAATGCATAAGACAGCTACTAACTTCGTTAGTTCCTCTTTTACCTGTATACTCTGGCCACATGTAGTATGTACCTTGCTTTCCGCCTATATCGTAAACAATACAATTAAATACCGAAAGCCTGCGCTTATAGTAAAACAATCCTACGTCCCCGTGAGGACAATTCAAAATTAGTTCGAAGTCGAAGGTGGCACATACTGTTTCTGGAGAATGAAGAGCTGATGTTTTATCACTATTTTTTAACTCCCGAGCCATGATAACTTTTTTTGTATGTTTATTATGCACAGATATCTGCTTTGCTGTTGGAGTTTGCTCTTTTGAAAAATTATGGCATTTAAAACAAATGTCTTTTTTACGATTTAAAAAGGCTACCTTTGTGTTCTTATTTACAATATCTCTATACTGACGTAGTGTTTGAGCTGGATTATTGTAATTTGAAAGTTGATCCCAGCTCTTGTATAGACAAAACATTTTTTTTAAACTTAAATTGTTATCCAAATAAATTTTGCTTATACTGTTACCCATATCATGTATTTCAATGGGTTGAAAACTGTTAACGTGATCAATAACGCTTTTGATCATAACTGAATCAATTTTTATTAAGTGATTTAAGTGTTTTCCTCTATTATCCGTAAGAGCGACACCGTCAGAACTTAGTTTATAATGAGCAGTTCGCACAAGTCTATCGGTAATAGACAAAGTATTCAAAAATGTCTTAAGACAAACACGTACTCTATCATGAGAGTTTAACTGGTTATCTATGGACATAGGCAAAAAATATTGAATTGTAAACTGTCTCCTGGATGAATGTTCGGTAGTCATACGACGTTTGGGAAATTTTTTTGTAAATTTGTTTATAAACATCCACTGCTTACTGTGATCAGCCAAATTCCAAAAACTGGAATGAATCGCCTGACGAGTTGTTAAATCAAATTTTTCAAAGCATTTCAATTTACATGTTTTTTGACAAACGGGACCAAGTTCTCTTTTATTTCGCACCTTACCATTTCTGCTAACGTACTGCTGGCCAGAATTCACTGCGGCTTTTCTTTTCATGTCTTTCCAATTGTTAACGCACAGACTTCTTCCCTTCTCCCGATTAGTTTCACAACTGGATTGTATTTTCTTACCCGTACTTTTTGAAGTTTTACATTCTGATATCTGTTTTAAAGATGCAACGTTAAGTACCAGAGTTTCTTTGTCATAGTTTGACTCTTCATGGCCAAGCAGACCTTGAGTCACTCCAAAATCTTCAAGCAACGGTGATGACTCTGACGTCGTTGTGGAACTATCAGAAATAAAAGAGGGATTCTTCCTTGCGTCATTAAGTTCAGCCTCCTTATTTATATCAAATGAAAGTTCTTCTTCAGATAGTTCACCTAATGCGTTCCAATCCAATTTATTAAATCGTCTCATATTTAGCAGCATAGACCCTGAAAAAATAAGTGCTATGTTATTGATCAAGACACAAAATAAAAACTAAAAAATAAGATATTACGCGTAAAAAAAGTCAATCTAAAATCATTAAAGAATATATCTAAAATATTTAGATTATTTATTATTTGCATTACATGTCATTTACAATATTTACAACAATATAAAGCTTATCCCTAAAATTATCCAACATATTGTATTTACTCTTCCCGCTTTATTGTAATGAATTTTAACCCACTAAGTTTCCTCGCTGAGAGGCTAGTAGGCATAATTCATCTCCGGGCATCGATCACTAATAAAGAACTAGATGCACAATCCCATACAAAATTTCTCTAAAAACTGTCCCCAATTGTTGTGACGTAACTCTAGTTGAAATAAATATACATTTATGTAAATTCAACCTTAAATACATTGCCTATAGTGTATTCACAAAGATACGTACGAAAAGCAATAAATTTTTATGACTGATACTGGCTGGTCAACCTATATCAAAACAAATTCAACCTTACACGCGTGTTTTAAAGTCAGAATTACAAAGTGCTAGTAAAAAGGAATCAAATTTTACGACCGAAGCTCGTAGTTTAGACAAGGAATCATTAGAGTCGAACTGCCCAATATTTTTTGTTACCGTTATTTTAATTTTAAAATGTTTCAAACTTGTTTTAAAAACTGGTGTACATAAAGCATATTCTATTTCTATTCTATGATGTATTATGTGTAATGGTTATAATTTACCTGAATGTAAATACGTTTTTGGATAGGACACCACATTAATTTAATAACGAAAGTACTTGAAACAGTCATAATTATTTATTTATTCTTCATCTTGTGTCACAAATTTAAAAATATTGCTTGATAAAGAACTTAAATCTAAATTCAATAGTTACTAAATATAAAAAGTATGTACAGAAAGTTGTAAGTCGTAGTTACATATCCATCACTTCCTAAAACATGCTTCGAACATACAACGCTTCCTTGGGTCGGCTTGAAGAATTCTTCGGACCTTTGACATGCTATGACTGATATCCATTCTGCACCTAACTGGATCTCGAGGAAAGTTTAAAAAATTAGAGAAAAATTAAAAATAAAATCTCACATCTTTAATTTTACTACATACAAAATCAGTTTCTACTATTGCACATATTCAGAATTAAATCTTTAATATGTTACTATAATATTTGGAGAAACTTTAAAGAAGTCTCATTAAACAAAAAATAATAATCATACTTTAATAATAAAAAAAATAATAAAGTCTCCAACAAATGGAACAGAGTCAACGAACAATTATGACTTATTTTATTAAGACTTAATTTAAAAAATGTTTTAAGGAGATTTCTTGACAAAATATAAGTATTTACCGTACAGTGATAACAATTAAATAATGATAATATTAATAAGTACCGAAATTAGGAAATTCCATCCTTTTTTAGCGTCCTGGATGTGTGATTTTTACACTTTTTAAACGAGCACTGAGGCATGTTACACTTCTTACACTTCTTGATAGCAGAGATTGGTAAAAGGTTGGTACCTACCTAGACGGAATTCTAGAAGTAGGAGTCCACGACCAGCAAGTGAAGAGCACCGATTACCACTAAACTCAATTCATTATTCGATACAACCTATCAAAAGTCAGGTGTTGAGTATAGGCCTCCCCTACAGATTGCCTCATAGGCGGATATTTGCTATAGGTGCCACGCTCGGCAAATTGGTAACTGCAAATTTTATTATTGAGTATTTTTTTAATAACAAGAAATGTCAACCAACCAGTTCACGTAAACTTAAAATGCATGTGATAGGAGTGGTTCTCGACTGAAGTCAAACGGCGGAATCGAGCTCACGAAATTTTTGAGTTAATAACACTGTTATCAGATGCTGCCGCCTATCGCTATGTTCAGCCCTCTGTTGCACCTATAGAATGATTTTCAGCATCCACAGGATGACATGGTGCAGTATACTCTCTTGAGCGCCACTACACGGTAACACTAAGCGTAATATTACAAAAAATAAGACAAAATGAAAAATTAAAGTTCTTTTAATATCAATACAGGCATGTAATGTATTGACAAAGTGTTTTCACATTTAAAATGTTGAAAATATGATTTGTTACTGATCTGTACTGATTTTGATACGAAGTGAATGCTATTAACAAATTTTCAGGCAAACAGCATTTCTATAGATTAAGAAAAAATGTTTAAATAAAGGTACAAGTTTACTTGAATGTATTTAATGGAGTGCCATTTTTATAACATCCAGTAAGAAGACCAAACAAAAATTACACTAAGAAAAAAAAACAACTTATCCTACGTTGTTAATTTAGCAACGTTCTTATCATAACATACCAAAAAAATCACCATAATTTCATTGAAAAGGGAAGGAATATCGACTTAATCGCAGAGAAGTTTGCCTTTCGGCATTCTAGACGCGTTTCGGAAAGTGTGCGCAGGAATTAAATGCTTTAATTCCTCCATCTCCTTTCTACCATCTGACAATCAGACGGTCGGCGGGTCTTCAACTCTTTGACGGTGATGTATGGTTTTAGCATGAATGGCTCGTCTCGACAGAGGAAAGATCACGCTCTCACAGAATACAAGCGTAAAATAGCAGCGTAATATTGCTGTGTTTCGTATGGTGAGTGTAGAGATCCGGAGACCCCTTTTTTACTGGAAACGAGGCATCCCATCTTAGTCTTCAGGGGTGACAACACATCTGCCTTTCTGATTCTTGATCGAGGATAAATGAAGATATCTATGCACAGCATCCACTTACCATCAGGTAGACTGTGTGCTCGTTTGTCACCCTTATTCTAAAAAAAGTTATCGTATATAAAGGGAATAATCTGCCGACATCTTTCTTTATACCAACTACAATCTAGGCGTATTCAAGGCAAGATTGAATATAAGCTTTTGTTACTCTAAGATAGTGATATTCACCGTCAAGGGTTTCCTCACCAATTACCACATAGTGGAATTGTAGTCAAGCAACGGCTAAACAAAAGTCTCGAATGTTTTTTAACCCGATATTATTTGTACTCCAAATAAGGTGGTAATAGAAATTAAGATTTTATAATTTAAGTTTTTTTTATAAAGCTAAAATGGTAAACGAACTTACAGTTCACTTGATGGTAAGTGACTACTGCAGCTAATGGCAAATTGCATCCAACTTTAAACAAAGAAGGCTTTAAAATAATGCATTGTCACCTATGAGGACTTATATGGAATACTTTACAATTATACGGGCTCTGTTTAATCATCAGGCCAGAACACAGTACACCAGGCGCTGCTATTTGACGGTAGAAATGGTAACAGGGTGGTAACTACCCCAAGCAAAATGAATTCTTAATATAGTAGTAATAAATAATCTTTGTGTAGTTTGGGAATGATTCTTTTCAATTAACGCATGATGAGCTCAAGTTGAGTGATGACTTACGGATCTGAAACGTGGTCCTTCACTGCTGGCCGTATGAGGACGCTCAAGGTCGCTCAGCGAGCTATGGAGAGGGCTATGCTCAGGGTTTCTCTGCGTGAAAAAGTTTGAAATAAGGATATCAGCAGTAGAACCAGAGTGACCGACATAACCCAACGGATTAGTAAGCTAAAATGGCAATGGGCCGGCCATATAGCTCGAAGAACCAACAACCGATGGGAAAAAAGGTTCTTGAGTGACAACCTCGTACCGGTAGGCGTAGTGTAAGGCGGCCCCCACTAGATGGAGTGACGACCAGGTAAGACATGCAGGAAATCGATGGCCCATGACCGTGCTTGGTGGCATTCCTTGGAGGAGGCCTATACTCAGCAGCGGACTTGTGAAGGGCTGTAACGATGATGCTGATGATAATGATGATGAGCTCAAGTTACTGTTACTTCTGATCTAATTAAAATTATGGTATTTAATAAAGGAATTTGAAATGGGTTGAATGGGCTAATATTTAATGAATGTTATATAGAACCAATTTCAATATAAGGGCATGATTTTCTATGAAAAAAAAAGCTCAAAAAAGATAACGAGTCCTACCACCTAGAAAGCTTCACTATCTAAACGAACCCATTTTAGATTTGTCCCCTTACTTGTACAAAAATATTTAGATTTTCATCACCAGATTAGCTGGTATTAGGGATAAAGTTTAATCGTCTAATAATCCTTGAAAATTTTTTCTTTGTTATAATTTGTACATTTTATATCTTTACTAAATAAATAAACATTGCTTATTATAAAGCCATTAACTAAATAAATAAATAATTGCTAATTATAAAATTAAATAACACCCAATCAAATTTTAATCATTTGAATTAAATTTTACATTGCACTAAATTTAATAAACTTTAGCTTGTACTATGTATGATATTTTTATTTTATTACAAAAGGTAATAAAGTCAATGGTCAATGGTCTGCATACTAGTTCTAAGCGACAGAACTGTCACGTAAAGAATAACAACTTTCAACGTTTATTTGTTTCTTCTATCATCTTTTATAGACAATCTAATTCTTGGGAAAGGTCTCTTCAAATTGGTAGTAACAATGTCGTCCTTAGGCTGTGAAGAAATAAAAACTAATTTGTTTCAAACAATCTGCCCTTTGAAACAGGTATTGAAAAGAGGAAGCAGAGGTAATCTCTCGTGTATCTTGTCACAAAATGTCAGTAGATAAAACTATTTGGTACATGTGGAATAACTTAGCCTGCTACTAACTAAGGAAAGACGCAATCTTCGTTACACACCGGTTTATGGTTGTGTTTATTTTTCGCCATAATAATTATATCGTCATTTGTATAGAGAACGGCTTTGCATTTTCTGTTAACATGGGTAGAGCATAACCATCTTTTGGTAGATTTTGATTGGTAGTCCTTCTTGTTATAGAATGTGTAACCGTTTAGACTAATGAGTACTTTCCCTCTGCGTGATTGGACATAATTTGCTGTAAAAAAGAAAACACTATAAATGCGAATACAAAAATACATGGTAGAGCCACGCTGTAGCTATATTATG